ACAGTCAACACCAGAAATTCCAGGACATCCCGGTCGACTTTAGGCTCCTCTTCAGGTGGGAGCCGCACGATTCCCCAGAGACAGTTGTTAATCACACTCTGGTACACTAACGGCGCGTTCTTGAGTCCAAAAGGCATCCGGATCCACTGGAAATGTCCGAACGGGCAGAAAAATGCTGAAATCAATTTCACCCGCTCTGTCATCTGAATCGCCCAGAAACCACTCGCCATACCCAGACTCATGAACCATGCCGCAGCGTTAAAGTCGGTCAGCAAGTCGTCAATCAGAGGTATAGGTTATCGCAATACCTTGATCAACTGAATCACCAGCCTATAATCAACGCATATTCTGATATCCTCTCCATTCTTCTTCAAAACGATCACGATCGGGGATGACCACTCCGAGTCAGAATGCTCAACGAGTCCAGTCTCTTGGAGCTTCTTCAGCAGTTCGTAAACTTCCACCAGATATCTGGAGGCGATCTGTCGAGCACGCAGCGCTATCGGCGTCGCATCACCTACATCCAAATCACAAACGACTCCACGAGCTGGGGTGGGTGCGGCATTACCATCACCTAAAAGATGCGACGATGATAACTCAAGATCTTCCGCATTTTGCCCTCCATCTCTGGGGTCGTGACGCCTGGAACGCCAACGTCGGCTTTGTCGATGTCCCACTCCGGGCTCAGTTCTTCTAACTCTGGAAACATAGTCAGGCGATCGCTCAACTGAGCCAAGAGCTCCGTCCCTTATTTGCAGATATACAGCTGGGTTCAGATCTAACTCTTCCACTGTCATTCGCATGACACGCTCGTATTCTCGTTCCAGTATTTGGATAGGAGTGTCTGAGAGGTCCGAGGCGTCATCCATGAGATTTGAGAAATCATCCAAAGCGCGTTCAAGGACATCCTCCTGTACGTCTTCCGAATCGAATTCTGACGAACTCTGAAACATCGTTCGTTCCTGAGGCGAAATGCTCCGGACTTAACGTCGGGTGACATTCTGGATCCTTTACTCTTAAAAAGGTGACTAGATTTTCTCTCAGGTCCTCTGCGTTCCGGAGTCGCTCTGAATCCTCTGCAC